ACATATAAGCATACAAGATGTTAATAATGTTAGAATGGAAGTGTATTTAAACATGAAACCCAGAAAATTTTTAATGTTTAAACCAAAATTACCAAATTTTCTAAATACTGACAGAAACCCGTTGCCATGGCAATTCGAAAAGTTACTACCTTATCTAATTAATATGAAATCGTTGCCAGATATATGTAAGGAAAAGTTACAAAATATTTATTGTTCTTTTATGGTTTGTATGAGCATTAAACATAATTTCTTTAAATGGGGACATCATCTTCACAACCTAAATTAACATAAGTTACGAGCAATTAATAATAGAAATTACATATAAGCATATAACACGTTAATAATGCACCATTCTAAGTTGCTATAATGACGTCACGAGGTTAAAGTTCAACGGCCTTCACAGTTCGGCTACATTAAAGGAAACTGAGTCTCAGCCTCCCCTGCGTCTACTTCTGTTGTGCTGACACCATCGTTTGGGAAATCCCCATTAAAAGGCAGCAACAGAAATAACTACGTGGCGTTAGTTCCCTTTTTACCCAATGTCTCAATTGGGGGAAGCGAAAGTATCTTTTCTGTTTACGCTACACATCAAAAGATTGCGTAAATTACTTTCGAGGAAGGTGACAGGCGATTGTCTTCTGTACTTCTTGGTTTTCATTATAAAGAACTTGTAAAGATCTAAGCGCTTGCTCAAGCTTGCTACGCGCTTTCGACTATTTAATAAAAAGGCACCAAAGAACGAACCGGATCCTTACGCCTGCTTGGAGATTAGTGGCGTATGATTTAGCGCGCTTTTGATGTGCAGTGACCCTTGAAATTTCAGGGCACGGACGAAGGCGTGTCGTGGGAACCTGTACCATTTCCTCAAAGTCTGTTTACAGCGCTATAGACACAGGTGACAGTGAAACTATGGCGGAAAACCTGCAGGCATTGCTTCTTGTGTGTTTCTGGGTTGTTTTTCTTCAGATTCCTTGCTCAGCTCGTGCCCAGGAGTTAATCGTTTCAGTGCCAGAAAATGTCGCTGTTGGGAAGACTATTTTCACCGCGTCGCGTCTACCAAGGACCCAGGCTGGAGACAAAGCGGAACTTCCGTGTGCCAAAATGGAGGGAGATCCGCACGGCCGCTTTAATGTGACAGAGAACTGCACTATTGTGGTCGCCAACCCTCTTGACCGGTCAGTACAGCCGGTATATCTGCTGAACATTCGCATCGGAGTTCAGAACACGAGTGTTAAGATAGAGCTGACTGACGCCGAGGGCTATCCTCCTGTATACAACGAGAAATGTGAAACTCCGGTCAATCCTGACGGTAAGACTGGTGATTTCTTATACAGTCTTGCCGCCACATTGGAAGCTGTGAAGACAGATGGAACCATTTGGAGTGGCAAAGGAACATATACTAAACTCTCTGACATTGGTTCCACCAGATACCGGACGATGTTATATGATGACCCTTGGATGTTGCACACAGACAACAGTGACTGCAACATTCGTTATATTTGGTACACTGACGCCATCAATAGTTTAGTAACTATGCAAGATCTTTGGTACAATGACATTCGACACTTCACATGCACCGAGGAATACAAAGCACCAAAAATATTCTTCGAAGTGATTCTACATAAACGTGGTGAAAATATTACATCAGATATGTTGAAACAATATGTTCCTGAATCAGTCGTGGAGGACAAAACTCACAACTATTTCCTTTTCGTATCATCGGTATATTCTACAACAGAAACAAAAACATATAACTGTGAGATTCCAAATTTTCGTAAGCCAGTAGGATCAGCACCCTGGGCAAATATTGAGTATCTGGACATTGAAGTAAAACCTGAGGGCTGCCCAGCAGGAAGATATGGCTTTCTCTGTGACAAAACCTGCATCTGTAAGAACGGCGCCCGCTGCCACGGGTTTAACGGCGCCTGCAAATGTCCGCCCGGCTGGAAAGGTGTGGCCTGTGACATTCCCAAACAGGACGTCTCCATCACGACGACGCCTAGCGACCCTCGCCACATCTACATCTCCGCAAACGTCACGTTTCGCTGCACGGCCCACCATGTCGACGTCACGTACATGTCGGTTAGATATCCGAATGCGACAGAGAAGGTCGGCTTTGGTGTGACTAAGATTGACTTTGTGGTTCCGAACATACAACCGACCAACAATGGACCGTACACGTGCCAGGTCCGAGACACCCGGGGAAACACACTCAACTCCACGTTTGTGCTCAATGTTACGAACTGTACTCCGGACAAAAAAGGTGCCGAGTGTGATGAAGTGTGTGATTGCCTGCACGGTGCGAGCTGTGGCCGGTGGGTCGGCTGTGTCTGTCCGCCGGGATGGACGGGAACAAGGTGTCAGACAAAATGTCCCCATGGCACGTACGGTAAAGACTGTTTAAGGAACTGTAGCTGTCAGAACGGTGCAAACTGTAACCCTAGCGACGGTCGGTGTGGATGCACTGACGGCTGGTACGGCAAGAATTGTAGCAAACCGTGTCTAAACGGTCGGTTCGGTTGGAGATGTCAGCAGAAATGTGCCTGTAACAACAGTGCTACATGTAGTAACGTGGACGGCAGCTGCGCATGCGTGACGCCGTGGACGGGACGGAACTGTGACCAATGGCAGACAATTGCGAGCAGAGACGAACCGCTGCTCGAAAGCCTGATCCCACTAGGCTCCTTAGTCTTCCTTGTTGCCATAGTGATGGCGATACTCTACAAAACCGGCATTCTATCTTGTTCTGCGCCAGACGCAGGCGAGGAGGAAAAGATACTTTTCGAGCTGAGGAGAATGGAGCAGGATCTGGCACAGAGCCTACAGCCGGGCTGGCTCGGACGGTGGGAGAAGAAGGTCCGCCATCTTACTCCTGGTCCGTTGATTGGAGAAGGGATGTTTGGGCAAGTCAGAAAGGCGCAACTGCGCACACCTAGGGGAGAACTCGCCGTTGCCGCCAAGACAGTTCGCGTCGAGGACTCGCAGTCCTATCGAGACTTCTACAGAGAAGCAGCCATACTGGTCGCCGTACACCAACAACGAAATGACGATTGTGGTGAGTCCAATATCGTTCGTCTTGTTGGGCTTATCACCAAGTCTACGGAGAAGTACATTCTTTTGGAATATGCACCAAAAGGCGATCTCTTGGGTTTTCTTCGCCGAATACGGAACATGAATGGCGAAGAAGGTTTACATGGAAGCCTTCTTGGATACGCAGTTGACATAGCACAAGCTTTACAAGAACTGGGACGCCTGAGAATCGCACATCGTGACGTGGCCGCTCGTAACGTCCTCATCACTGCCCATGACGTGGCCAAGTTGGCTGATTTTGGACTCGCCAGAGATGTCTACGTCACCACGCAGTATGTCCGAAGAGACAGTCCAGGCGCTGACGAACTCCTGCCGCTGACGTGGATGGCGCTGGAGTCCATCGAGACGGGCGAGTACACCTGTCAGAGTGACGTCTGGTCCTTCGGCGTGCTGCTGTGGGAGATCGCCACGCTGGGACAAGATCCATGCTACGATGGCAGGACTCAGCTGAGCTTTCGTCAGATGGTGGGGATTCTGAGGCAAGGAAAACGGCTGGCGATGCCAGAGGGATGTCCAGACGACCTGTGCCAACTGATGAAGGAGTGTTGGCGCGACGATCCAGATGAAAGACCGACTCCAGGAGAGATAGAAGAGAAACTGCTGCAACTAAGACGTTCACTGTTTTCACACTACGAAATGGAAACTGTTGTGTAGATAGCCTTTACGAAAGCAAGGTAGATACAGAGGGGAACTGAAACTGTACCCAGGGGTTTTACCTGGGTTTCATGTCGTATGAATCTTAGAGTTTGGCTCGTTTAACAGAATTTTGTACACTATTGAGTTTTCCTATTCGAATTTGTATCTGTTTTCAGTGTTGAGCATGAGATAGGGACTTATTGGAGAATTCTAGAAGTTAAATATCATATTTAACTTGTCGAATTCTCTTTGGTTTGGTCAAACAGTTCAGCATGATAATTATAATGCTATAGTCCAAGGGAAGCCTATATATGATCTAACTAATGCCACATAACATTTACACTCAGCAACAGCAGGGTTTCGTCTTCTGTAATTTTTCATTTCGCAGCCGCCATATTTTCCTTCGCCAAGTGAGTCATATATTCATTCGGTTACATTTGAATGTTTGTTAGATTCTAGTCTAGCTATAGATTGCTAATTAAGTTGTGAAATTGTGGATAGATATCTAGTATCTGTAGTCGGAGTGGGAAAATGTAAAGGACAAGTTCGATTATAGTCAGACACATTTTCCTTAAAGCTATGTGTGTTTATTGCTCGATTGCCTAATATCCTATATAGATTTAAGAATCAATTGGGAAAGCAATCGGGTTTGTGCAGTGTTAAACGTCAGCCAAATGGGCCAGTATGAGAGAAGTCACAAGCAAACAAACAAACAAACAAACAAACAAACACAAACACACACACACACACACACACACAACACACACACACACACACACACACACACACACAACATTTATGTAGAGTTGAAAGGTCACAGTTCTCGAGTTTAGGCTCCCAAACCGGTTTTGCAACGGCACACAAAACAGTGATTAGCATAGCAATGACGCAGGTAAATGATGACTAATATCAGGAAGTTTTACAGAAAAATATGATCAAATTATCGAGAAAAACAGTTCCCCTGTAAGCGATATCGTAGATACATGTACTACTGTCTGAATTTTTTACACTCTGGGATTGGAGACAGCAAAAAAAAAACTATTCCCATGTCGTTTTATAAAAGTGCAAAATAATGTCACTGGCGAATGAAAACATGCCTTCGGGCATCGAGAACCAAAAATAGCGTGGTGAGGTATTAACTTGTTCATAGGGCGATCCCACTGTAAAGAGGTACAGAAAAAATGCTTGCTAAAGAATAAAGCTACATTACATTCATGTATATCGTTTTGCATTCATGTACTCGAATATCGTTTTTCCAAACGTACCATGCAGCTTAGGTAACCTCTCTCTGCATATCTTGATATTTTCTGAGTTTTGTTAAATGCTTATTTGGTACAGTCCGCAGGTTAACTGACAGGTTAAAATGGGAAGATGTTATAGTACTTGTTACACCTCTCAAATATGCTGATATGAGCTGGAATAGAAGGATGTATTTGCTCAGCAAGCGAAATAAAGTTCATCACAGTACGTCAATTATGACTAAAACCTTTGGAAATGTAAACTTTATTCAAAGGCACATATTCACATAGAGATACCAGTTTCTGGTCAATTAAGTTGTTACTAGATAACTCTAGCTGGTCATGTTCATGAAGTGGAAGTAATTTCGGTACAAAGCGTACCTGCGTGCCGTGAACTCTGGCATACCACGACAAATCTGATCTGGCTGGATCGCACACTGAGCGTCAGACCTTCGGCGCGGTCGGCCTCGCTTTTCCCGAACTGCAACATGAGGTACGTACTGTCAAGTTGTGTGGTTTATTGCCACAAAAATATATAGTTTGTTACTTCATAGATATCAAACTGTATCTGTAAAGTGTTGTAGAATATAAGTAACCGTAAGTAGCGCAATAAGATATTAATTTTACTATAAGACATAAATTTTACTAATTTTCAACCATTCTTATGACAAATGATACCATAGATGTGTAGAATGCTACAAACGTTATAATACAGGTGGGCAGCGTAAATCGTAAGCCTATGTATCACATGTACACAATACCATAACATTGCAGTATTCAGGATTATTTACACATGGGCAAACTTTACGTATACAAAGTCTATTAAAACATACCGACACTTGCAGATATATATAAAAAGAATATTTTCAGAAAGGTACTACATAATCGAAGGTACATTGGTCGTGTGGAAGCTTCACATTTTACTGTGATCAAGGAGGTTAAATACTTCCTTGTTGTGACGTACTAGTCTGGCATAGGTATGAATTACTGGTCTGACAGTACTCTCCAAGCAGAGGTTTTGGGCTTTGACTTATTTTAGGCTTTTTTATCGGGCTTTATTTTTTGTACTTATATACTAGTATATAATTGTTTATTGATTGATCGATGAGTACAATCTCTAGCATGTAGCAGCGCAACTAAAAAAGTAGCGCCGAATTGTATGCTAGTGTTTAAAAACAGGGAAACAAATATTGCACAGTTAACAAATAGACAACTAAACAAGTGAGTATTTCACAGTTAACATATAGACAACTAAATAAGTGCGTAAAACGAGCTTAACAATATTCACAATATCAACCAATAAGTTATCAATATCATCAGTGTAAAAAATAATAATTTTATAGTATGTTACATAAAAAGTTATGGTGCATATACCATGACTAGAATCTTTTGAAAGATGTTGTTTAGAAACACATATTCACATAGATATACCAGCTACTGGTTAATTAGTCTGAGTAACTCAAGCAATGTTAAATTTTGGTAGTCGCTACTGCGGTATAAGTGGTGTGCCGCCAACTCCGGCAGTCACGCGAATCTGTTCCGCTTGATTGCACACTGGGCGTAAGAAATTAGCCGGTCATTGACATGGTTGACTTTCTATAGCCTTGACTTTCTATTCAAGTATAGGACTTTTAAACATACAATATATACAAGCTAGAGGGCCATATATTAGAACACAATATGCTAATTACAACATCAATAAGACGAAAAAGACAACGAACAAAATCTCTAAATATTTCATGGAGATGTGAGGTCTCTGAAGTCATGTTTTAATGTTCATGGGATAGTTATTTTAGTGAGAAGTAATATTGATAGGTGCGATAAGCTGTTACCTGTTCGTGAAATAATCTTCTAATAGGAATCCTAGATTAAAATGGTATTATAAAAAAAATAAAAACACGGTACGAATTCCTATAGTGGTAGCATTTCTGCATACAAATATTATGTTTATCAAATATTAGTACTAATAACTTGTTATACTATATTTCTAGGTCCCATATCTGGAGTTTAGGCATCCTGGTTCTAATACTCTTGGTGACCACAGAAGGAGGAAGAAACAAGTGTGGAAAGAGAAGAAGTAAGGAGCTTTCCTTTGTATGCAAGGCAGTCTTTCGTAATAACATGACATTAACAACAAAAACTGTTGATAGTTCCAAATATACACTGTCATCTTAGTTGGCATCTGCAGAGTGAGAGGGACAGAGAGAGAGAGAGAGACAGAGACAGAGAGAGAGACAGAGACAGAGAGAGAGACAGAGAGATACAGAAAGAGACAGAGAGAGAGACAGAGAGAGAGACAGAGACAGAGAGAGAGAGGGAGACAGAGAGACAGAGACAGAGAGAGAGATACAGAAAGAGATACAGAAAGAGACAGAGACACAGAGACACACAGAGAGAGAGACACAGAGAGAGAGAGACAGAGAGAGAGAGAGAGACAGACAGAGAGAGACAGAAAGAGAGACAGAGAGAGAAAGGGGGTGGGGTGGGAGAGATGGATATATCTGCATCAGTTCTGTCTATATATTAGGCTACTCAAATGATATTCGTCCGCATGTACGCGCCTTTGTATCCTGATAATCTTGCTAACACTTTCCACTCGACTGACGATAGCACAGCTGCAGGTGAGTCATCACCAGTGCCTCCAGCGTGTCATTCCGCATCAATAATCAGCATTTAATTTTTTTAAGGCCATGTTGATTTGATTATATGGATGACATCCTCTGGGAACCCGAAAACTGCTGCGAGCGTGTGAATAAAAAAAAGTTTGGCAAAAACAAGTTGCCTTCATTATGAAATCTACGTGGTCATAAAGGTTTTAAATTAACAAATGACACAGAGTATGGTATGGAGATAAATCTACTCTTCAAATTCATTTCTTTACATTTTTTCCCTTTTCGTTTGATTTTGGCATTCTACGACATTGGTATCGTTTTCAAATATTTGTAACGTACGGTATATATTTGCTCATTTTGCAACTGTTTTGCAGGATTTACAGTATGGTTGAAAACGTTTTTTGGAAACGGCCGAAAGTTTATGCGCGCGCGGATGTCATCCATATAATCAAATCAACATGGCCTAAAGGGCAATGATCAGGTGAAATCTGACTGTAATGAGAATTAAACTCCAACTCAAGAAAATTGACAGAAGGTTGATAGAAGGTTGACTCGGTTGAAAATTCCGGTCTGTCAATTTTATTGAGCTGGAGATTAGTTTAATGCTCATTATGTATTTTACCAACTCAGATGTACTTTTATGCTCGAATACCACTAGATACAGAAATAGTGCAGTACCGTCGATGATAAGGATACTTAATACTAAATGAAACCCAAGCACACTGTTGACAAATGTTGCTTTTATATTTATGTCACGTCAGAACTTCATTATTGTACTCGTACACCACATTTTTTTAAAAGTAAGACACTCCTTTTAATGAACCATGAACGATTTTATAATGTATAGAATGTATTTTATAATGTATAATGTTTTTAAACGAATGTTACAATTGGCGATATTCAGCCTGGTGCTCAGGCGAAGTCGGCTGAGAATAAACCATTTGATTGATGATTGATTGATTGAAATCCGACAGCCTTGACCTGCTGGGCGAGCGAGTTAAATACACCTGGCAGGCACGGTCATTCACCCTACCGAAAGGCTGCCACGCCTCTTCTTGTCTAGTTCTATATGCTCGTACATCTATAACTGCGTCAAGAAGCGAGAAGAAGTCGAACATGTACATAGTAGATCACATTAGTATGTATAGTTTAAGTATCATTGCTGTATCCTTTTCCTTGTCTATTCATGACCTGTACTTAGCTTGTTAGAGCACAAACGTACAATAAAGGTCTTTCATTCATTCATTCTAACAGCGCGTTTAGAATTCTCTTTTCTTATCGACCCTCATTTAAACTGGCATCGACCATAGAATATCGTCATTTTTTAAAAGAATTTAACCACGTGGCAAGACCCGCTGGGTCAGTCTACTGAGGAAGACCAATTAAAGTCACTGATCCAAAGCTCTAGAAAGCTCTGAGAACATTTACCTTTTGTATTGGAACAAAAGCTATAACTTGTTACATGTAACTTCCAACTGACAGATGAACTTACATGATAGTATAACAGCACGTCGGCAGAACGTACTGCCCCCGCGCAGAACCCTGTATTTTCGCATTTTTCGTTGGGTTTTTGGTCAACGTTGCATCAAAATTTTGCCTGTTGCAGAGGATATTCTTTCCGACATAATATTTGGAAACTACTGTCGAAATGCGAACCTTATATGAGCGAATACAACCTTATATGATACATTCTGCTGAAATGCTATGTACAATACATTACGGGTTTCGCGCAGGTGCAGTACGTTCTGCTGACGTGCTTGGTATAACTGATGTGATTGAATTGTGCTTGTGTGGTATTCCAGGGAGCTGTAGGCCGCTAGTGTTTCCTGACACCATCCGCAGCAACTGTAGGCCTCCGTTCAGATGTGGTGACGAGTGCCACTATGAGTGTGTCCGCGGATGTGTGAGGGAGCGGGGAGCCACCGTCAGGACGTGTAAATTCGGCCGCTACTGGGCTGGCGGGAGAGGACTGAAGTGTTCATGTACGTAACCAATCAACGCGCACATAATTATGTTTACTTTCGCAGAAGGAAAGCATATTGTTCTACTCTGTTTCCTCTTCTTCTTTTCTAAACCAATAAGATCAATGACCTGAACCAGAGATCTGTCCCAATGGTAACTAGTGTTGAGTTACATCATGTTGCAATTTTATGGCAGGAGGGATTTAAACTCCTATCTAAACCATATGTATGAATGCGTTTGAGTAAGAATTAACAGAGTAGACCATATGCGAAGGTAAACATTATGCATTTGCTTTGCAAATGTTACTTTTCTAGTTACAGTATTTGGTGCATATTCCTGTTCTTTTCCGTTTGGAAACGCACATTAAAGCTGAGTCCAAAAGTTAACTGTATCCAGTGAAATTTCAGACAGAATGTGTCAATATTGTACATGTACAGGATGAACAAGACTTTATTTGCCATCGCCTTCAATACAGCACCGAAACAGCTTCTCGCTTCTTAAGACAGTTGTAGACACCTGAACATAATTATGTAGCTTATAAAAACGGTTTTGGCTAATTCCATAATGGATAAAGACTTACCTGTTATATCTAGCTTGATTGATTTTGGACATCTGGGAAACATATCGTGTATGCAGTCATATAGGATATCCCTCTCATTTCATAATTAAGTGTATATTAAAGGCATCCAATGCGATTTCAGAGCAGCAAAACTGGAAATATTCTGAATAAAGCAATCTTTATGATATTGACACATACTGCTTCACATTATCAGATTTCAATCATATTTCATACTTTGCATATTAAAACTGCAGAAGCAAGTGGTACCCTAAAAATCAGCCCGGGGCCCTTCCAGTAACCATTTTCTGTCAGAAGTTTTGGTATTTTTGCTTCAAAGGGGTTAATATACATTGGGATAGTGTGGTTTTAACTCAGTAATGTAGACAAGTGACTAGAATATTGATCTTGACAAATCGAGTTTCCAAACCCTAAAAACTGCATTGGATGCCTTCAACAATAAGATCGGCATTTTTGCTACAGGTAGACCCTGCGGTGCCCCGCCCGTGATCACGAACACCAACATTGGAGGCAGCGGCTGCTCGGCACCGTTCACAGCAGGGACCGTCTGTACCTACCAGTGTGACAACGGGTACCGCAAAGTGGGAGGGACGGAAACAAAGATGTGTGTGGACGGTCGATGGAGAGGTACTAGCCTGGACTGTGACGGTAAGCTTTTGTCCACTCAATGTTTGTCAATGAAAGAATTAAACTATGAATCAGTAAATTAAGAAATGCAAGAAACGAGTTTCCATTTCCATTGTTTAGGAATAAGTAAATTAATGCAAGAAAGGGATTGACATAGTTTATAAATCAGTGAATAAATTAGTGAAAAAATAGAATTTACATAATTTGTTTAACGCATTTACAGTTTCAAAGGAAGCTACAAGAGAGCCCAAACTCACATCACCTTTTGTACTTAACATTGCAGCGGTCGAATGTCCGGCTCGGGCGGCCCCAGCTAACGGAGCGGTGAGTCCTACCGGAGCGGTCTCCTACCCGAACTCGGTCACCTTCACGTGTAACACGGGATACGTACTGAACGGCGCTGCTACTCCGACCTGCCAAGCTGACGGAACATGGAGTAACCCTGCTCCAACATGCACACGTAAGATGTGTTTGACTCTTAGAACAGTTACTGGCAATTATTGTATTCTAATCAGTACAATGCAGACACAAAATATTGGGATTTTATATCAAGGTTTGACAGAATGTTTTTTCTACCTTTTCATTGCAGCGGTCGAATGTCCGGCTCGGGTGGCTCCAGCTAACGGAGCGCTGAGTCCTGTCGGAGCGAACTTCTACCAGGACTTGGTCACCTTCGCCTGTAACTCGGGATACGTACTGACCGGCGCTGCTGCTGCGACCTGCCAAGCTGACGGAACATGGAGTAACCCTGCTCCAACATGCACACGTAAGATGTGTTTGACTCTTAGAACAGTTACTGGCAATTATTGTATTCTAATCAGTAGAATGCAGACACAAGATATTGGGATTTTATATCAAGGTTTGACAGAATGTTTTTTCTACCTTTTCATTGCAGCGGTCGAATGTCCGACTCGGGCGGCCCCAGCTAACGGAGCGGTGAGTCCTACCGGAGCGGTCTCCTACCCGAACGGGGTCACCTTCACCTGTAACACGGGACACGTACTGAACGGCGCTGCTGCTGCGACCTGCCAAGCTGACGGAACATGGAGTAACCCTGCTCCAACATGCACACGTAAGATGAGTTTGACTCTTGGAACAGTTACTGGAAAGTATTGTATTCTAATCAGTACAATGCAGACACAACATATTGGGATTTTATATCAAGGTTTGACAGAATGTTTCTTTCTACCTTTCAATTGAAGCGGTCGAATGTCCGGCTCGGGCGTCCCCAGCTAACGGAGCGGTGAGTCCTACCGGAGCGGTCTCCTACCCGAACGGGATCACCTTCACCTGTAACTCGGGATACGTACTGAAGGGAGCTGCTGCTTCGACATGCCAAGCTGACGGAACATGGAGTAATCCTGCTCCAACATGCACACGTAAGATGTGTTTGACTCTTAGAACAGTTACTGGCAATAATTGCATTCTAATCAGTAGAATGCAGACACAAGATATTGAGATTTTATATCAAGGTTTGACAGGCTGTTTTTTTTTTCTACCTTTTTATTGCAGCGGTCGAATGTCCGGCTCTGACTGCCCCAGCTAACGGAGCGGTGAGTCCTACCGGAGCGGTCTCCTACCCGAACGGGGCCACCTTCACCTGTAACACGGGATACGTACTGAGCGGCGCTGCTACTTCGACCTGCCAAGCTGACGGAACGTGGAGTAACCCTGCTCCAACATGCACACGTAAGATGAATTTTTACCTTCGCCAAGAAGGCTATGTTTTAATTGGCGTTCGGGCGTCTGTGTGTGTGTGTGCGTGCGAATGTGTGTGTGTGTGTGTGTGTGTGTGCGTGCGAATGTGTATGTGTGTGTGTGTGTGTGTGTGCATGTGTGCGTGTGCGTGTGTGTGTGTGTGTGTGTGTGTGTGTGTGTGTGTGTGTGTGTGTGTGAACAGGATAACTCGACAAGGCTTTGATGGATTGTCTTGAAATGATTAAGATTTTGGGTCCCTGGTGACTTTTTATGGTACTGCAGCTGAACTTCCAGTTTTGATATCTCGTGATCTGGACATATCCTACTTTGTGGAAGGAATACATTTTGATTCGATTCTCTACTTTGCCAAATGTGTTTCTTTTTGTACTCTCGATTGTAGCGGTCCAATGTCCGGCTCGGGCGGTCCCAGCTAACGGAGCGGTGAGTCCTACCGGAGCGGTCTCCTACCCGAACGGGGTCACCTTCACCTGTAACTTGGGATACGTACTGAACGGTGCTGCTGCTGCAACGTGCCAAGCTGACGGAACATGGAGTAACCCTGTTCCAGCATGCACACGTAAGATGTGTTTGACTCTTAGAACAGTTACTGGCAATTATTGTATTCTAATCAGTACAATGCAGACACAAGATATTGGGATTTTATGTCAAGGTTTGACAGAATGTTTTTTTTCTACCTTTTCATTGTAGCGGTCGAATGTCCGGCTCGGGCGGCCCCAGCTAACGGAGCGGTGAGTCCTACAGGAGCGGTCTCCTACCCGAACGGGGTCACCTTCACCTGTAACTCGGGATACGTACTGACCGGCGCTGCTGCTGCGACCTGCCAAGCTGACGGAACGTGGAGTAACCCTGCTCCAACATGCACACGTAAGATGTGTTTGACTCTTACACCAGTTACCTGCAATAATTGCATTCTAATCAGTAGAATGCATGCAAACACAAGATATTGAGATTTTATATCAAGGTTTGACAGAATGTTTTTTTCTACCTTTTCATTGCAGCGGTCGAATGTCCGGTTCGGGCGGCCCCAGCTAACGGAGCGGTGAGTCCTACCGGAGCGAACTTCTACCAGGACGTGGTCACCTTCACCTGTAACCCGGGATACGAACTGAACGGCGCTGCTGCTGCGACCTGCCAAGCTGACGGAACATGGAGTCATCCTGTTCCAACATGCGAGAGTAAGAAAACTTTCAAGTTAATATATGCTAGCAATGTCCATGAGATTTTATTACTTCTTCGTTAAGAAATTCAACAGCATAGTAAAGAGTGGTTTAGAATGACATTACTTTACCTTTCTGTATTTAAATCAAGAATTGACAGACGGATTCAGACGGAACAATATAAAATGCATTGAAAGATTCTTAACTCATCAGAAAGTAGTCATTCAACTTATCTGAATCTCGCAGTTCCTACAACCTGGACAACCCCGTTGTGGACCGGCACCCCACTCAGCGCCAGCTCCTGTGGAAATCAAACTGTTTTCAACAGTGATTCCGGCAGCTTTACCTCCCCGAACTGGCCGGGTCCCTATCCCCTGTCCGCCAACTGCACCTGGCAGATCAACGTCAGCCCGGGAAACGTGGTGATGATACGGTGAGTCCTGCTGGCAATTTTTACACAAAATCTTCAGATAATTTCATGTCTTAATCAGGTCACAGACCCTTGACATTTTTTTGCCCTGCAATGGTGTAGTTACTTCAGCATTCGTTGCGTTTCGCTGCGGTGTGATGCGTTGCACGAGCCCCTCAAATCGTACATATACAGGGCATTATATAGATGGTACTGTATGTGCAATCCCATATGATACATATATGGGTCCCGCAGGCCGAGGGTTCAACAGTGATCATTGTCATTGCATGTCAATCACCATCCTGTTCATCATAAACTAAGCATCGTTTTAGGTACAAATTGCAACCATTATGATGTATTCTTGCTAGCTACTAAACTATAGAAGCATGTACTTTCATTACATAAAAAATATTGTGTGTAATGTTACATACATTTGTACACAAAGTGTTACAATGATACTTTGCGTATGCAAAGTAGGTACGTTATATTTTGCCATATACCTACAGTCATTTGTAATGTCTAAGTAGTAGGATTTTTATGTGATTTTACATATTAGTAGAATTCACGAAATATAGCTGTACGCTCTGGCATTATTATAAGCCGTACGAGTATAAGGCATAACTTGTCGTGAGAACCCGGCAATTCCAATTGCTTTGTAGGATAATGGATCATTAACAGTGATACAGGGAATGACAACACATAACACATATATTTCTACCGATTCTGTTTAAATCAAGGGCATTGCATAATGTCATTGCTTATAGTTACAGCGACAACAGTAGATAGCTTTAAGCTCGGGTTGGCATATGATGGCCCGCCTCAGCAGTAGCTGATATGCGGTGGAGCGGTAGGTAGGTAGGTAGGCCCAGTACATGGGCCATCCCTGCCCCCAGAGGTAATCAGGACTCCAAGTGCGGCCATGTAAATAGAGTTTAAGCACAATTTCGGTTCTTTTTTTTTTTTTTTTTTTT